GCTCACTTCCATTTTCAGGCAATTTCATGCCTAAAAAACCATCTCCCGGTCGACGAGAAAGAGTTTACAGTCCAGTTTTTGCAATGAAAAACGATGCAAGCCATAATAAAGGGCATAAGAAAGGAAGATTGGTTGATGAAAACATGATTGTTCTTAGAATGAGAATACATGATCTGAAGATGGCCGAGGAAAGTCACTCGCCACCGGAGAATTGGATGGAGTGGGAGAAGAAATGGTACGTGAATTATGATTCAGATGTAATTGAAGCAGTAGGGTTGCTGCAAAATTTGCTGATGGATAGCAGGCCAGGCTTGGTTTTGGGAGTGGTGGCTCTTATAATATTGAGTGGATCAACATCCATGGCTCTTCTACTTTGCTATTTGGTCGACATTTTCAAGGGGATTAGTTTCTGATTAATGAACTTCTTGTTTTTCATATTTATAGCTTATTTATATTTAGAGATATTCATGAAATAATGGTGTGCTAGCATGCAAAAGTATAGGAAGTGAGTTTGATGTAGAACAATTAGAAGAGGAAATCATAAATTAGTTGAAAAATAGGAGAAATGAGAAGGATATATGAAAACGCGCAGAACTTTTAGATTGAGTGCTAGATTTACATGAACGAGTACAATTCCAAAGTGTTTTTCGGTTCTCTATAGTTTTGTTGAGGGACGATGTCGGCCAAACTTTCGGATTCAAATTTCATCATTTAGGAGTCTATTTCAGTGTTTTTTCTGCTTTGAGTTAATTTAAGGATATTTTTGTTGTTTTTACAGTTTTCTAATTCAATTCGAATTTATCTACAGAATTAAGATTTTGTTTTGACGCTTTAAATATGTGTTAAGGGTTTGAAAAATCCTATAGTTGTTGTTTAATAATATTATTTCAATTTTTATTATGTATCTGATGGATTCTCATATTTCTTACATTCGTTCAAGCGAAATTTGAGCAATACCCCTTCGTGTGTTGCAAACAAGACCCTTTTTATTACGATTCACGTTTTCGTCATGTGCCAGATTTTGTCTCTAATTCTTTTTTTTATTATTTTGTGGATTAAATAGTATCTTGCATTTGCACAGTTAGTGAAATTTTATATTTTTATTCATTTACATTAGATAAGATGGTTTTAGAATTCTAAATCAAATTATCATTGAAACATCAAGATAACAAAGAAAATGAAGATATTACTAACTCCCCATTTGTTAGGGATTAAAATCAGATTTTTTTTTTTTATTTTTGTATATTTTGATAAAAGTTGATATAATGTATGGTTGAAAAGTTGTGAGTCCCATGAAATATGTGTTTAAAATTACTTGTTGACTTTAACTTAAATTAAAATATAAATTTTAATCCCTCCCAAACAGGGGGTTAAGCGATGAGTTTCATTGTGATATAAACAAACTTGGTAGCTTATATGCCAGTGCTTTTTTGACATAACTTGTGATTTTGCTTTCTATAGAAAATTTTCTTCAGGAAGCTACTCTAAATTTTATTTGAAATCTAATTTTCAGAAAACCTTTCTATTCTGGAAGTATTTTAAAAAGAAATTAAATTTGATCAACTTCTTCTAAAAACTTTTCTCATTAAAAGAAGCACTCTCATAAAATTAGTCAAATGAGTCATAAAACAGCTTTTGAATATCAAAAGTTCCTTTTGACTTCTAAAAGGTCATGTCAAACAACCCTTTAATCACTTTTCTAACACTAGACTTTAGATCGACAACTAGACAGCATTATTGGTTGTAGATAGAATTCATTGAAAACTAAGATTTGAATGTTTATATTATTAGATATTAATGTCGCGTTCAATTTGCATATTACTTAGATAGCAATCAACAGAATATATAGGAGATGTCCTTCGTTGCAAAATGAAAGAAAATAATAATAATCCATGTCCACAAATGTATTAAATAATTATTACATACACACGATAACGATCTCCTGAGCACCGGTGACATAGTACACCAATTAGTATATATAAAAACAAACAGATGATATAACGCCATATGCATATTGGTTCGACTCCTAATACAAGTCTACATCCAATCCCCATAATATTTTCTGTAGTTTCACTCAATAAAAGCAGCAATCACAATTTCATTTTCTTTTATTTTGTTTGGATACCAAATTACAACAACTTGAAAAAACGATACAAATCACAAATGTCTCTCATAGACGTATCGAACATTCACGGAGGTTTTCTTTTACTATTTTTGCTTCATTGAACTTCTCCATCGACAACTTTGAAAAATGATATAAATTTGTGCCTAGAATTTAGGACATTCATAGAGGTTTTCTATTACTATTTTTGACTTATTAGACATCTAAAAATGAAAGATAATCATAAGTTCCATACTCTTGAAAAACCAAGGCAAAGAATGAATGTATGGTCATTAATTTCCGTAGGTTTT